CCGTGCCCGTCCCGGGGGTGCCGTGCCCGTCCCGGGGGTGCCCAGGCTGCAGGCTCAGCCCCCGCTCCCCTTCCCGCTCCCCGCAGGGCACCGGCCATGGAGCCGGGCACCATCGACAACCTGTCCATCCTGTACCAGAGCCCCGACTTCATCGTGGTGAACAAGCACTGGGACCTCCGCATCGACAGCAAGATGTGGTACGAGACGCTGACCCTGCAGAGCCAGCTCAAGCACCGCTTCCCCGAGCTGGCCGACCCCGACACCTACTACGGCTTCAGGTTGGGCTGGGGGCCGGGCCCTGCCTCTGAGCTGGCCTGGAGGGGCTTCCCACGTGCCAGGGTCGCTCCTCTGCCTCCCGTCTCCTCCGCAGGTTCTGCCACCAGCTGGACTTCTCCACCAGCGGGGCCCTGTGCGTGGCGCTCAACAAGGCCGCGGCGGGAAGCGCCTACAAGTGTTTTAAGGACCGGCGCCCTCTCTCGCCGGGGTGGCCTTCCCCTGCCAGCTCCTGCTGCTGCCCGTGTCTGCTGAGCTTGCTGACTTGCTGCTTGTCCCGGGCCTGGGTTTGCCAACGGGCTCTGTGTGCTGCAGGTCAGGGGCCACGTCAGCCAGAGCCGCCTGACGATCCGCTTCGCCATCGGGAAGAGCACGACCGAGGGCACGACCCACATGATGTGCATCGAGGGGACGCAGGGTGAGCGGTCCCACACCTCTGTGCTGCCCCCACCACCCGGGCTGTGCTGCGGGGAGCTGATCCCCCCTTCCTGGGTCTCGTTGCAGGCTGTGACAACCCCAAACCTTGCCAGTCGGAGCTGGTGGTGCTTGAGCACGGGTCCTACAGCGGAGACCCCGTAACCAAAGTGCTGCTGCAGCCTCTGGCAGGTGGGAGATGGGGGCTGGGGGCTGCAGCTCTGTGGCTCTGATGTGGTCCGTGGGACTGGGTACAGAGCAGTGCCCATCCCCAGCAGCACAAAGTGCTGAGGCAGAGGTGCTGCAGTGGAACCTGCACCTTCAGCCCCGGGCCTCGGTGGCAGCGTGGGCACGTCCTGCAAAGTGATGCCTGGAAAGGGCTGAGCCACTTAGTGCGTTGTCACCTCCCACCACCCTGCCCTCCAGGAGGGTTTCAGGGATAACCTGGTGAGAGAGCTGATGGGAGCTGAGGGAAGTGGGGTTGTTTAGTCTGGAGAAAAGGAGGCTGAGGGGAGGTTGGTCTCTTCTCCCGAGGAACAAGTGAAAGAACAAGAGGAAACAGCCTCAAGCTGTGCCCAGGGAGGTTTAGATTGAATAACAGGAAAAATTCATTCACCAAGAGGGTTGTCAGGCCCTGGCACAGGCTGCCCAGGGCAGTGGTGGAGTCACCACCCCTGAAGGGATTTAAAAGCCACGTAGATGTGGTGCTGAGGGACATGGGTCAGTGGTGAGTTTGGCAGGGCTGGACTCCATGATCAGAAAGGTCTTTTCCCACGCAGACAATTCCATGTGATTCCTCCACTCTCACTCTCTCCCTAGGGCGGACTCACCAGCTCCGGGTTCACTGCAGTGCCATCGGCCACCCCATCGTGGGGGACTTCACCTACAGCCACAGGAAGGACAGCAGTCCCTACAGGATGATGCTCCACGCCTACTACCTGCGCATCCCCGCCGGCAAGGAGCTCATCGAGGTCTGCGCGCCCGACCCCTTCGTCACCGCCATGGACAGCAACTGGGTGCCCCACCACATCACTCACCAGCTGGACGAGGTCATCCAGGAGCTGAAGGACAAAGTGGTGCAGAAGGTGGAAGAGGAGCAGAGCCAGGAGGCCGTGCCTGGTGGCAGAGAAGAGGAGGAGGCACGGAGCAAAGCCAGGAGCCCGGAGACGGAGGAGCAGCGATCCCGGTGCGAGCAGTGGTTGGCTGAGTGGGCTTTGGAGTGAGTTCCCACCACATCTCTGCATTCCCAGCCCAAGGCTCCCATTGTTGTCCCAGTGGGTCCCCGCAGAGCCCAGTGCTGACTCCACATCTGCACTCCCCGTAGTCCGTGGCTTCCCTCACTCCTGGGGCTGGGATTAGACAGATTTTAGCAGTGATTAGGATGGGTTTGGTTTTTAACCTACACATCATCCCTCTGGCCACTGGATGCCCCTTTCCTGATTCTGAGCCTCAGCAGCAGAGTCAGTGTGTCACATACCAGCTTAGAGTGACCCCAATGCTTTATGTCCCTGCCCTGAGGGCCCAAGCACAGCCAGGGCAGCAGGGACACTGCCCTTGCCATGGGCACAATGGATGTATCTGCAAACCCTCCCTGCATCTTAGGATGCTAAAATGCAGCCCAGCAAAGGGAGGGGAGAACATGCTGGGTGCAGCTTCTGTGGCCCTGCCCTCAATTCCCTTCATTCCAGCCTGCTGGCACACGTGTTGTGTGGGTGGTGGGAGATCAGGAGGCTGAGGGGCAGCCTCGGGGGTACCAACAACCCCTGCTGGTCCTAGAGTGGCCCCATCTGTTTGATGGGCCCAGGCAGGCCCTCCCTGCTGCCTGCCCATCCCTGCCTGCCTCCAAGGATGAGCTGCCTGCCCATCCCTGCCCACACGTTTTCCTTCCTGCTTCCACCCACGTGTGTCTTTTTAAAGGAGTGTTGAAGATGAGCAAGTCAATATGAAAGGATTTTAAACTTTTTGTTTTCAAATTTCTAAGACAAGAACCTCATCTTTTAGTGGTTCTGAAATACGGGTGGTCTCAGAGACACGTGTATTTTTAGTGCTTGTGTGGTCAGAGAGCCAGCAGCCCAAAGCTTTTTTAATAGATCTCATCATTCCTTCTACTGGCATTGCCTTTTCCTAGCACCCACTTTTATCCTGGCTGGGGATGTAACCCTTGCTGAGACAGGTCAGAAGGCACAAGCCCCTTTCTCCTCTACCCAAATGAGGAGCAATAAGTATCGTGTCTTGGTCCCTGTAGCTCCTTGCTGGCTGCTGTGGGGTGTCAGTGCTGGGGGGAAGTCCTTTGGGTGGGCAGTTTGGGAGGGCTCTGGAGCAGCAAGAGCAACCAAGGAAAGGGTTGGAGCTGAGAGAACAGCCGAGGCCTGATACAAAGGGCAGGAAGGAGCTTAGCTCTCTGCAAGAGTTTCTCTGGAGTTGCCTGTGCCGCTTCGCTCTCTCCTTCCCGCCATTCCCAGCCTAAGGAGGACGTTTGGAGAATGAAGAGAGCAAGAGCAAGGCAGCAGGCATGGGCTGGAGGGACAGGGAAGGCTGGAGCCCATCACACCCAGAGCACTGGTCCTTCAGCACCAAGCTGCCAAATCAGCAGGTGCCCAGAGTTATTGTCACCCTGCATTCCTGTTTATCGTGCCCTGACAGCGGTTTCGCACAACTAATATTCCTGCCCCAAAGGGGAATAAAGCAGCTCTGCCCTCTCCTTGGGGTGAGCACACTGTGCAGGTCACCAAAACCCCACGGGGTGTTGCATTTCCTGTCCCTTGTGTCCCTGGGTGCTGGCAGATGCCAGCTCACCATGTGGCTGAGGAGGCTGTCAGGGACAGGCTCAAGGTGCAGGGCTCTGCAGGCACCAGCCCTGGGCACTGAGTGGGGACTGTGGGCTCCTGAAATGTCACAGGGGGGGTTGGAGGAGCAGGAGACCTGTCTCCTTCCTCCCAGGTCCCATCCCTGCCCATCCCATCTCCCAGAAGGGGAGGGGCAGCCACAGGCAGGTCCCAGAGCTGTAAATTAAGACCAGGAACCTGTTTGTTGAAGAACGAGGTGACATTCTCGGGAGGCCCAGAGAAGTTACGGGTGAGGTTTGCAGCAGCAGAGGCAGGACACAGCCATCCTTTCCCACAGCCCGTGGAGGGACTGTCCCTGCTGTGTGACAGGATGTGTTGGGGTGATTCTTCCCTCAGCTGCAGGGCTGGTGGTCACAAGGGGTGGCATGTGGGACACACCGGTGCCCACGCACAGGGTGATGGACTGTCACTGCCAGGGGCTGGCACCCTGAGGAGCCCCCACACCACCCAACAACCTCCCTGCGTTGCACTTTTACCTGACATTGCAGCAACCAGAGATAAATCTGCCTTCCTTGCCCTGCAGAGAGACGTTTCCCACTCTCCAGCCCTGCTCCCTCGTCGCTGCCGCGGGGCTGTTCTTTGCACCATGAATCCACTGGTGCACTGGGAAGGGGGGGGCGTGATCAGGTGTGTGTCTCATGACATCCTGCACAGCTTGCTGTCACCCTTATTCCTCGTTGCACGTTGCTGTAATAAACCATTCCCTGTGTACCCTGCAGTTCACCCTCTGGTCTCTCAATCCACCCCCTGCTGCCTGGGCTGGCGTCTTCCACAGTGTGGCCGGCTCGGTGCTGGGGGCTTCCAGGAATGAGCCCAGACCAGTCCAGCAGGACCAGCCCCAGGGCTTCAACCCGGCCAACCTGTTGTAGGTCCTCGCCCAGCTGAGATCCCCCTCCCTGGCCGAAACCACCTACCTGAAAGCCTTCCTGGATTTAGTAACTCTTGACACAGATGACCAAGGATGCCCGAGGTGGCTGGGGAAGATGCTGCTGCCCTGGCCCTTCCCCTGCCCAATCCCACCATCTGGGATTGACCCCAACCAACAGGCAGAAGCAGAAGAAAAACTCCTCATTTCAAAAGACAGCAGCTCTTCCTGGCATGGAAATGGGGAAGCAGCCCCAAGGCTCCTGGGGTTTAGGAGGTGCACAGGGAAAGCTGGTGCCATGCAAGTTTTCTGTATAACCCTTGCACATCAATGGTCATTCCTTGGGTTGGAAAAGCTGGAGAAGTGAGTGAAGACCCAAAGGAATTATTTGCAGTCTTCAGGCTGTGATGTTTTTAGGGTTATAATCCTGGCAAGGGTGGAGAAGCAGCTGGTTAAGAGGAGGGAGCATTTCCAGCCCATCTGGCCTGAGGGGAGGCAGTGGTGCCCACCACGGACCCAGGCCCCCAGGGAAGGGGTTTGGCAAATGCTTCCCAGCATGTACAGGTTTGGGGTGGATGTTCCTGTGCCTGCTCCTCCTGGGGTTGGTTCAGGGTTGGGTTTAAGCTCTGTGGGGATGCAGCAAGACTCGGTGACCTGCAAAGGGCTCCCCTGTGCCTCTGCCCAGCCACCTCTGACCACCCAGCCTGCGGCAGGGGCTGTGTCCCACCAGCAGCCTCATAGCAAACAATTTTCTGTAATTTTACCACTCCAACGAGAGCTATTTTTACAGGAAATCCTTCCAAAATAGAAACCAGAATCATCTGCCAGTGTTGAGCAAGTCCTGGTGCTGCAAGACCGGTTGCTTCATGGAGGGTGAGGACGGAGACGTGATGGCTGGGAGCACTGGGGGATGGCACACTCTGCTCATCACTGTGCCAGCAGGTCCAGGGACCCTTTGTGAAGGCTGGTGCCCCCACACCCAGCTGAGCAGGTGGTGCAGCCAGGCTGCCAGCCCAGCCACCCGCTGCCAACAGCTCTTACCTTTCCTTATTCCCAGGATAAAGGCTCAGGTAACATGTCTGGTGCTGCACAGGATCAGGCTCCTCCAGGTTTTCCTCACCCAGCCTCAGAAAGGCTTTGCCTCCTTACTTTCTGCTTTCCTTCTGCATGGCACCTGCTGGATGGCATTTCCAAGCAGGTTCAGAAGTGGGGAAAGCTGTAAAAAAAGAGAACAGGATTGTCCACAGTCAAGGCCAAAAGGACAAGTTGGGATGGGGAGAACCTCCCAGAGGGGTGCTGAGCCCATCACCCAGGACTCGGTTGTTCTGTATCCTGATTGCCCTATAAAATAGCCCCCTGAATAGCTCAAAGGTGTTTCACTAATCAGGAGGAAGTTCCTCCATCAGGAGCCCAGAAATCACCAAACCAGGCCATTTAAGCCATTTGCCTCGAAGTTCAAAGTGACACTTTAGGAAAGAAAAAAAACCCCACAAAAACCAACAAACACAAAAAAAAAACAAAAACACCCAACAACAAAACCAAAACCAAACCCAGGAGAGAAAGCAGCTTTACAAAAACATTGTTGAGAAACTGCCCCGTCACACCCCAGTTTCAGAGCAACATCCCCACCCCACAGCAGATAAGTGCCGAGCTGTCCCCGGCCCCATCCCAGCCCATCCAGCACAGCAGGTGGGTGAGCACCTTCTCTGGAGCAGAAGCTTCATCCCAGAGCCAGATCCCCCCCTGGAAGGTGAGCAACTCGAGCAGGGCACCAGTGGGATTCAGGGACCGTAAGGAGACTTAGCAGAAAAATCCCAGGGCAATCAGGTAATTGCTCTGGGCAGCCCATTTCTGGAGCAGGGATTAATTTCCTGTCGGGGTTTCTAGCTGAGGGGTTTGGGGCTGGGGAGAGGGGAGGGTGATGCCTGCTGGTGCTCCTCCACTGGGTTGCACTGGGTTTCTCCCAGCCTGTGTTGGTGTGGCCCATGCAGAGCCAGGGGAGGGAGGGGGACTCTGTCCCTGCAGGGCACAGGCAGGAGCTGGGCTCTGGGTGTCAGAAAGAACAATTTATGGTAGAGTTTCTTTTAATAACAGGTGGAGAATGAAAGTCTGTTTTCTCTTGTTTAGGATTTAAACCCTCTCCCTTGGGTGCAGGGGCTTGTGTGGGCTCTCAGAGAGGACGGGTGGGCACCCTGCCCTGCAGTGCTCCACAGCTCCAGCCCCAGCATCGGACAAAGGAATCAGCTCCAGGACCATTCCCAGCCCAGCCAGCTGCCAGCACCATCCTGGGGGTGGGACACACTCCCTGGCTCTGAGGAAGAAGCCCTGGAACAGCCACCATGGTGTGGGCAGCCCCAGCCACCTCCCTCTGCCTCCGTGAGTTACACCTTGTCCCCCTCAAGCTGACCCTGCCCCAGGACCCCCCCAGCACTGGGGATGCTCCAGCCCACCCTGCTTTTCATTCCCAACCCTCTTGGTTTTGGCACTGCCTCCTGCTCCCACCAGCATCCCCAAGGAGCTTGCCCAGCTGCTGACAGCACCGTGATAGAAATCTGCATGAAAACACTTTTCCAGGGGCAGATTCCTCACTTTTTTTTGTCTTGCAAACCCACTCCAAGGCACCCCAGGCTGTCAGGGCTGGCACAGGCTGCAGGGCAGCACAGGGGGCTGCAGGGTGGTCACCAGCATTTACCAAATATTATTCAATTAAGAAAAATGGTATTAAATTTTAAATATAAAAATAATTTAACTAAATCATATTGTAGGATAAATATGTGTCATTATTTAATCACTATTATATTTAGTTTTTAAATAGTTCATTATGTGATGAACTATATTATAGTTATTTAAATAATATGTAATCGTGTTGAATTAAAAACTTAAAATTAATCAATTAATTTACATTCATTTAAATTTAATAAATTGATAAATAAATTAATTTCACATTTAAAACTAAGAAAAGGCCCTTCCCAGAATTTAACCATGAAGCTGCTTTAGAACAGCCCCCAGTTGCCTGCATGTACAGTCATGGATAGCATGGACATTCCATAGCACAGATGTTCCTGGCATGGACACTCCATAGCATGGACATTCCATAGCATGGGCACTCCATAGCATGGATGTTCATAGCACGGATGTTCATATAGCATGGATATTCATAGCATGGGCACTCCATAGCATGGGCACTCCATAGCACAGGTGTTCACAGCATGGATGTTCCTAACATGGACATTCCATACATTCCCTAACACGGATGTTTCACAACCCCCTCCTGCTTCATTGCAGGTTTCTCCACAGACCTGGTGAAAGTGGCAGTGGTGAGTCCCCCCCCCCCCCCGCCCCTGCTGCTCCAGTGCCTCCCAGCACCCCAGGGCTTTGCAGGAACAGGGCAGAGCTGCTGTGCTTCCCCAGCCCTCTGCTCCCCCCAGCAGCCCCTGTCCCATCCCACCCTCCTCGCTCACCCGCTGTCGGGCAGTGTCCCTGCCCTGCTCCCGAGCCAAGGGCTGGGACCCGAGACCTGATGGGCACCCCAGGTCCCCCCAGCTGTGGGGAAGCTGGGACAGACCCCCTGTTGAAGGGTCCCCACTCCTGAGCGTGGCTGTGGTGGGTTTTGTCCCACCTCGGGGCTGTGGCAGCTCCGCCGGGTGGGACCCCGTTCCCTGCTCCCTCCCTGGGGGGCTAAACCCCTGTGTTCCTGGTGGGCCTGAGCATCCCCCCCTCCTCCTCCTCAGGCCACCCTGCTCATCGGAGCTGCCCTGTCTGCCACCGAGCAACACCCTGAGTAAGTACCGCTCCCAAGACAAGGGTCCCAGACAAGCGGGGGTCTCGGGGGGTCTCGGGGGGCAGGGCCGGGGTGGGTGGATGTTGCGTTTCTCTCAGCATCTGTGTCCCTGTGCCCTGTCAGGTGTAGCTGGAGATGGAGCCGAACCCCAAGCTCCACTGGCTCCCAGGGAATGGTGGGCTCCTCTGCCACCCCCCTGGCCATGGGGACAGGCACCCTCCTGGCTGCCAGGACACCCCCTTTGTCCCCACCGCTGGCATCAGGGGACAGTTTCACGGCATCCCCGCGTTATTCTCACTTACCTCAACGCAGTCGTGGTTGGGGTGAAAGGGGAAAGTTCCCAAGGGAAGGAGCAGGCTTGACCTCCATGGGGTGTTGGGGAAGCTAAAGCTGCTGCTGAGCTGCAGCCCTGTCTCCTCCCCGCAGCCTTCCAGCCCCACAGGGATTCCTGTGCATCCCAGCCCTGCCCGCCGCTGCCCTCCTGGCCTTTGCCCGGGGGCTGCAAAACAAACCAGAGAAGCTGAGCAGTGTCCAGGTGGGCAGGGGAGGGGCTGCAGACCCCACAGAGCCTGCCGGGGGGGTGGCCGAGGGGCTCTGAGCACCTTGGCTTTGGCCAGACCAGCCTCTCTCTGCGCAGCTCTCCTGCCTGGCCCACCTGCTCTCGGCCAAGAACCCGACGGCCCATTTCGGCAGGTACCTGCCCAACCTGCTGCTCTTCTTTGAGTGAGCAGCACAGGGCTGTGGTTTTGGGGCTGAATCACTTCATCCCGGGGCCCTGGCACACCCCGGGGCACGTGGAGCTCCCTGGGGAGGAGCGTATTCCAAAAAGCAGCTGTGTCTGTGGGTGCCCTCAGACCCACATGGGACATTTCCAGCCCTGCAGACCCCCTGGACTTCTCCTCACCCTGCTTCTCTCCAAGCATAGGGCCTTGCTGGGCACGGCGTGGGATGCATGGAATTGGGTGGCCCCCATCCTGTGTCCGAGATGTCCAGTGAGCTCAGCAGCTCATTGCTCAGAAAGGAGTGATCGTTTTAAAGGACTTTCCCCATAACCCCAAAAGCAACATTACAGACCTCTTGGTGGAGATGAGGTGATGCCCTTCACCCCGTTCCTCCTCTCCATGCTGGCTCTTGCTCCCCACAGTTTGGCCGAGGTGGACAGTGAGACCTGTGGAGCCTTTTACAGCCGTGCTTCCCATGGGAACCTGGACCTGCTGCCCAGGGGCTCAGTCCAGAGGCAGGAGCTGCTGCAACGGGCACTGGCCTGCCTGGTGAGTGGGGGGAGAGCTGGGAGTGGCCAGGGTCCCCTGCACCCCTCACCGTGTGCTTGTACGAGGGCTGGATTGTCTCTCCCAGGGGGTGAGGAGCAGCCACTTGCAACCTGAGCAGCTCAGCAGCCTTGGGGCACTGGTGTGTGACATGGAGCCTGAGACCATCACAGCCTCAGACCCCGGAGTCCTGGAGAACCTGAAGCTCTGCCCAGTGCTAACAGGGGCCCAGCAGGATGCCCTCAATGCTGTGCTCCTTGGGGGTGGCACAGTGTATGGGTAAGGAGCCCCCACCTGCCCTTACGGGGCAGGCAATGTGCAGGCAGGGTGGTGGACCCACCAGCTGGACCAACACCCAACCTTCTCCTGACCTCCACAGGGACCCTTCCAGCTGGGATTTACAGACCCTAGATAGGTTGGGGCCACTTGTGCTGGCTTTGAACCAGACCACACTGAGCTTGGTGCCCAAGGTAAGTGCCCTCCTGGAGAGCTTGAGGGGAGTTGCCCCCTGAGGCTGCAGGACCCAGCACCCTCTGCCCCTCTACAGGCAACACAGGAGGCTTTTGGCAGGACCATCACAGCCACTTACAGCAGCCAGAGACATTCCCAGTGGGAAAAGTCCCTGACCCTCCTCAGGGCCTTCCCAGCAGCAGTGGCTTTGTCTCATCCCAGGCTGAAGAGGACCACAGAAGGTGAGCATCTCCCTTCACTGTGGCCATTCTAGAGCAGTTCAGAGCTCTTGGGGGGCAAAATGTCCCTAGGATGGTTGGCATCTGGGTCCCCCCCACAGAAAACTGTGGGATTCCTATAAAGCCACTGGGGACATGGGGGGGAAACTCTGTTGGGGTGTTTGCTCTTACCTGGGAGCAGAAATGTGGTGGCAGCAGCAGCCAGGAATGAGCTGGAGCAGAGCAGAAAACTGGAGCTGGGTAGGGGAGGATGCTACAAGACCAGAGGATGCTCCTGTGGGTGGTGTGGGTTCACCTTGCCCAAGCAGTTCTAGTTGCCTTGAACAGGACAAAATCCACGAAGTCTGTAGAAACATCAGCAGGTTCCTCAGGAATAACTTTAAGGAAGGAAAACAAATAAGGTTCCTTCCCAGGCTGGGGAGCCAGGGGCTGGGAGGATGGTTCACAATCCCGCAGGATGGTGGTTCCATGTGCCTCCACTGGAGCTTTTCTGGGGCCACATGGCAGGATCAAGGCCAAGGTGGGAAGGGAAGAAACCCCTGACATGTCCTTCCTGCCCACAGGCTGCCCGTCCAGCCCCATCACAGCCAGCACCATCTCCGACACCTTGTTATTCCTCATATACAGCGTCGATGAGTTCTACCTGTGCCTGAGCGATGAGGTTTTAACAGCAAACCTGAAGCTGCTGTCTGAGCAGCCACTCCCCAGGGAGTTCCTCATGGTGATGAAAAAAAGGCTGTCAGAGGTGAGGGGTGACACAGGGCAGGAGCCCTGGCACAGCCCCCCTGGTGACACGGGCACGTCCGGGATGGGCGAGACCAGCTGCGGGAATGGGCATCACCAGCCATGGGGATGAAGGCACCTGAGCAGGTCCCTTGTACCTACTTCTGCCTTCTTTTCCCTCCCCTGACCCTCTTCTCTGCCCCCATGGCCTGGCCCTACAGATTTACCCATCGGGGATCCCAGAGAAGCAGCTGAAGGAGCTCGGGACTCTGTCCCGCCTGTACACGCCGAAGGAGATCAGCCAGTGGATGGTGACCTCCAGTGACACACTCCTGGCCCTGCTTAACCCCTCAGATGGCCAGTGGAACCCTGCCCAGGTAAACCCATGGCAGAAGAGGGGTTCAGGTGCTGGTGACCCCAAACTGGGATCACTGGGTGCCGGAGCCCAGCTGAGGTGCTGCCCCAGGGCAGCACGGCAGCCTTGCAGCACAGGCATTTCTCCTGGGAGCATCTTCCTACCCTGCCTGCAACCACCTGAACTGTGTTTCCCAGGTCAACCAGCTGCTCAAAAGGTACAAGGCCCTGGGGGGCACCTTGATGGGGTCCACCCTGACGGGGCCCTTGCTCCAGACAATTGGGGGGAGGAACCTGTGTAACCTGCAGGAGGAGCAGATCGATAAAATACCTCTAGAAGCCATCAGGTAAGCAACTTTTTAGGGATGTTTTCCATCCTCTGAGGCCCTTGGAGCCACAGGGGAAGTGGCTGGTGGGATGCAGGCTCCTACCTCTGTTTTGGCTGCAGCCCCTTGCAAGAAGCAAAATGGGATCCCTGTCCTGCTCCCAACTCCTGAGCCCCAGCACTGCAGGCAGGGACAGACCACTTGTCTCCTCCCACTAACAAAAGGGCTTTACCTGTGGTTGGGGTGGTGCCCCCAGCACTAACCTGTGACCTTCTCTCTCCCCAGGACTGCTGGGCAGTTAAACATTTCCTCCTGCTCTCAAGCCAAGAAGGACCAGCTCTACAGAAAGGCCTGTTATGTCTTTGGTGACAAGGCCAACTCCATCAGTGTCTATTACTGCCTCATTCGGCCATACCTGGGTAGGTGCTTCAGCCTTCAGCTTCCTTCCCACAGTGATGGAGGTGGGACACCCCTTCTTCTGCCAGGGGGGTTCAGCCACCCTAGAGACACACCTGGCAGTCTTCAGAGCCCCTCCAAAAGTGCTTGCAGTGTTTGCATGTGTCTAGATGTCCCCTATACTTTCTTCAAGGTGGAGCTCCAGCAGATGACCTGAAAAGGCTGGCTGAGAGAGGCACTGCCATAAACATGGACATGGGCACCTTCCTTCACTTAAATCCCAAGGAACTGCAGGTACCTCTCCTGGAATCTGCAGGGCTGACTGTGGGGAGAGGCCACAGTTCCAGCACATCACCAAGCTCCTATTTCTTTACCCTTTTTGACTTCCTTTAGGAAGTTAGGACTTGCTCTGCAGTCCCATGAGAAAAGCACTTGGTGGTGCTGCTGAGGATGAACAAAGATGATGTGTTTGTGTTGCAGAAACTCAGTGTCATGGATGTGAAAAATTTGCTTGGGAAAAACCTCCCTTACCTGAAGGCAGCTGAGAACGAGACGGTGGTGGTGGAGTGGGTGAAGAGACAGTCCCAGCAGGAGCTGGACTGTATCCTGGGAATTGGCCTGCAAGGGGGGATGGTGCAGCCCAGCCCCACAGGGACTCACACCCCTCCTCACCCCACTGCCTCAGCCAGCACCACAGACCTTGTCCCCATGCCCACCACCCTCACCACTGTCCCTATCCCTGTTGCCATGAGCAGTCACCCTACCTCTAATTCAAGCACCAGCCCCTCCAAGGCCCCCACCCCAAGCATGCTCAGCCCAACCCCCCCTGACAGCATTTCCAGTGCTTCCCCCAGTGCTGGTGGGGGTCCTGCTCCCACCTCCACCCAACCTGCTCCCACCTCCACTCAACCTGCTCCCTCCTCTGCCACCCCACCTGCTCCCACCTCCACTCAACCTGCTCCCACCCCAGGCTCTGCCATCCCAAGCTCCACACACCAGTCTGCCACCTCAAGTAAGGCCACCCCTCCTAGTGCCACCCTCCTCACCACCCCCCTCCCTGCTGGCAAGTCCAACACCACCTCTTCCAGCTCCGTCCCCCCCCCTGCTCATGGGACCACCACCCCCAGCTTTGGTACTAACCCAGTTGGTACCTTCCACAACACCAGCACCCCCTCGGTGTCCATGAGCCCTCCAGCACCTGGGGGCACCACCCACCCCACTCCTGCCACCCACAGCACCCTGAGCACCCACAACCCCCCCAGCACCCCTGCCCCTAACTCCACCTCTACAGCCACAGGAATTAACCTCTCTCCTCACAAGCCCACCCCGATCCCCAGCTCCACCACCTCCACCCAAAAGAGCACTGTCTCCTCAACGGCCGAGACTGCAACATTGCCTTGCAAGACCAGTGCCCCTCCAGCATCTCCCAGCCCTTCTTCCACCACCAGCAGCAGTGAGACCACCAAAAAAACCCCCACAGCTGTGCCAGGGACACCGAGACCAACACCCGATGGACACATCAACGTGGTGCCTGGAGCTGGTAAGACACGAATGTTCAGAGCCAGGAAAGGCTTAGGAACTGATGGTGGGGCAGAAGTCTTGACCCCCAAGGAGTAGCTGGTCCACCTTGCTCTTGGCCAGCCTCATTACTGCTGTGCTGGTGCCCACAAGACACCCCAAGGAGCTCCTGGTTAGACAAAGGGTCTCTCCAGGGCGTTACAGCCCCTGGGTCTGGGGCACACTGCCTGCAGCCCCTGCAAGCTGCACCTCAAGGTGTCTCATCACACACAGAACCCCTCAACCACCCTGCAGGAAGCTGGGACAACTCTGTCAATGCTGGTCTAAAGGCTCTGGCCTGCCCTGGTGGAGCTGCACAGTGTCCCTCAGCAGCAGCTGCTGCAGGAGCCCTGGGAACAGGAGCTGCTTAACCTGACAGAGCTACACCCCTGGCTTTGATGATTCAAACAGATTGATTCCTGCTTCACACTGGGGAAAGCAAGGACAGACTCAGTCCTGCTCACTATTCATGACCAGGTCACATCTAGGGGTTGTCCTGACAGGTGGATCCTCCAGGTACCCGAGTCCCAAAGCAGCTCTGCTGCCCTGACAGCTCACGTGTGTTTGGAGAATCCAATGCTACCTCATTTTTCTTCTCCACCTAGGATCAGGAGCCAGAGCCTCCTCCTGCCTCATGCCCATCCTGGCAGCAGCCCTGGGCAGCTCCCTGCTCTGGGGGCTCCTCTGACCCCCTCCAGCTCCTCACCCACGGGATCCTGCCCTTCACTTCCACCACCCTGCAAAACATCTGTGCTGGTCACTTCCCTGCTGCAAAGCAGAAACCCAGCAAAGAAAGAGAGTTTGCCCACTTGATACCAGCACAGGATTTCCTTATCATTCCTGAGGCTGGGCAGTGAAAGGAGGACAGGTGTTTTCCAGCCCAAAGCACCCACCAGGCACTAACTAGTTGCTCTGACCAGGCATCACTGCTGGCAGAGGGGTCAGTCCTGCCAGCCCTACTTGCACTGGGAGTTATTTTACTTCTAGGCAGTCCCACTGGGACCTGCTGGGACAGCTCAGGGATCTGTGTTACTTGCCACTGCAGAAGCAGCAGATCAGGGCCCAGCAACACAGTCTGGAAACTCAGAGATCCACACAATCATATTTAACTTGTTTCATGAACTTAGGAGATTTTTGATCAAGATGTGTACACAAACCTTGCTAGAGGGATGATTAACTGAAGATAATTTATCTTTATTACTGTACAAAGCTATAGAATAAAACAATCAACTTTTTTTTTCCTACTCAAATGTGTCCTTGTGCTTCATAGTGCAGGTTTTCCTAGCTGGGTTAAATCTAAACATTTTCTACTTCTTTTGCTCTGACTTTCCTCATTATCAGATGTCTCCTCCTCCAACAGCTCTACTACAACAGAGTGTTTCTCCCTCCAATTTGCAGACCTTCCACCCAGTAGTTTCCTTCCCTGCAGGCTGGGGAGATTCCTGCTTCTCACTTGTTGAGTGTCAAAGAAAAAAATCAAGATTTGTGCTGGGGATCAATCTGTTAATGCTGGACACATTGAGGCTTTTTTGAACAGAAAGTCCCAAGGAGTGGAAATACATTTTTAAAAAGCATTGGGAATCATACACCAAGTTTTTATACCCTCCCCATGAAGAAACTGAGAACAGGCTCAGCTCTGTAAGTCAACACCAAAGAAACAGGGATGTCTGGGCTTCCTGACCATTGGATTTGGACCAACCCTTGCAGAACTGCTCTGAATGAAGAGAAGAGCAACTCATCAATTTGCTTCTGGCACTTTTTTTACTTAGTTCCATGATTTATTTACAAGCAGCTGGAAAGCTTCACTCCTGCTCAGGGGTCTTGGCAGTGTCAAGAAATCAGGCTCTTGGAGAAATGCAAGCATTTACACCCAGAACAGTCAGTTTGCTCACCCTTGAGCCCACCAGGGTTGTGCAGTGAAGTATTGACACAGTTGGTGGCTGGGCCTTACCTGGGCTTGCTCTGTATGAAAGGCAAGCAAAGATCCTGCTCTGGAGAGCCTGAAATCTTCCCTTCAGCCAGAACACTGATTTGTTTTGGGTGATTTGAAAGAGGAAAGCACCTAGAAGTGACCTCTGGGCTGTGCAGCATTTGGCTGCCAGCACTGAGCACCCCCAGCCCTGCTGTCCCTGCCAGGCATCAGAGCAGGTCACAGGTTGGTCCCCCTCATCTGGCTTCTCTCCCGAGGGAAGGTGTTCAAGACAAGACAGACATGGTCAGGAAACTGAGGAGCAGAGCAGGCAGGAGGTGCAGTGCCATGGCCACGGGCCCCAGGGAGGCTGAGGATGGTGCTGGAGGAAAAAAAGGGGGCATCAGTGCAAAGAGATCAGCAACTGAACCGTTGCCTCGTGGAGGAGAACATCTCTTGATGTCACATCCAGGGGAGATCTTTGGCTTTCTGATCAGGGCTTTCTACCTGTGGTGGCCAGGGAGGAGCTGAGCACCCCCCAGGTGCTGTCATGGGCCGGGTGGATGGTGACAAGGGCCACTGCAAGGGGTCTGCAGCAGCCCAGACCAGCAGCTGCTGTGCCCTGGGCACAAGAGCAGCAGGCAGGACTCCCCAGGGCCTTGGCACAAGCCCTGCTGAGGCACGACCACAGCTCTTTGCCAGCACTGCTTTCACAAGGCAGATTTTCTCCTTGCTGTAACCCCCCCAGAATATAAATCAGAGGTCCTAACTTGATACATACACTCAAACTTGGGCGTGACATTGATGTAGCCTTCTGGAATTCCCCCAGTGAGCCCAATGTCCAGCTTATCCAATTCTGATTGTTTCTGCATGTGGATCCACTCCCAGATGGGAGACTTGTCCTGCCAGCTCACCAGGTCACCAAGATTTATCCCCAGCAAGCCCTTAACCTGCGAAGGTGTCAGGCTCTAGGAGAAAACAAAGAGCAAGAATTACAGATGTAAAAGCAGGA